ATCTTTGCCTCTTCTTGTCCTGCTTTGAGATGGCTTACATTAGGGGAGCATCATGATGGGTTTTTTTTTCTGTCACATGAATCATCCCAGTCTCGGCAGTGTATGGTGCTTGGGCAAATACCACTTTAAGTAGAAGACAAAGATGGCTTACATTAGGGGAGCATCATGATTTTTTTTTTTTTCTGTCACGTGAATCATCCCGGTCTCGGCAGTGTATGGTGCTTGGGCAAGTACCACTTTAAGTAGAAGACAGAGCTGCAGTTTAGGCACTTGGACCCCTGTGTTACATTCTGTTTTCTGTGTACTGAGTAGGAACACACAGGGAGTACTTGTGTTTTTGCATGCTTTGGTATGCTCCTCCTTCACCTTGACTGAAAAAACTTGGATCCAAAGCAGAGTGCCTTATTAGATAAGTAAATGATTTTGTGTCTACTAGGCAGAAATTTGTGGAAGCTACTGGGTACTTTGTAATACTAAACTGAATTTCTCCTGAGCGCAGATTTTCCAAGTATGCTTTTAACACTTCAGTGCTCCCATGTATCATGCTCTCTTAGACCAAGATGACACATTCCTTAATGCTAAAATTGTTTTCAGAGAAACACTGTTCTGATTTTTCCTTAGCATTCATCCAGTGTTTGTGCCTTACTGTTGGTACCTGACTGACTTTACGCCGGACTACCTTTTTCTTGTTTTTTCTTCTCAGTTCGGAAAAGCTTCTGCTGTTGCCTTCAGAACACCTCCTGCTTCCAGTACTGTCTTTGCCAGTTCTTTGTCAGAGACCCTAGACAATTGTCTGAGGTAACGCTGTAGTTTTGCCAAATCTGGACTCTCCAGTACCAACCTTTCCAAAAGGGTAAGATCTGTGCTGTTGTTTGCAGCTGGAAATAGAGAGCACAAATCTCTTCTGAAATCAGAAGTCTTTGCTAGTGTCCTTTTTGCAGAATGTCGTACAAAGAAAACTCTATTTAGACAGGTTTGTCCCGGAGAATTGAAATTCTCCTTTGAATTTACTCTTTCCCACCTCTTCTCTCCTTGAACATCAGCTTTCCCTCATCTCTAAGACAATTTTCTTTTCCTTTCAAGCATTAAAGAGACCTTTTCAATGGCAGAAGGAAAGTCATTCCCCTTTTCTTGTCTCTATTAGCCAAGAGAGGTTCCTTGTTTTTCTGTGTTCAGCTTTCTCCAAACGCCTTAAAATCTCATTTTTCTATCAGCCTGTTACCTCAGCCTTTTTTAATGTTGTTTTTTAAACAGGACTATAAAAAAAAGTGTACTGCCAATATCCAAACTTGTGCTTCATAACATTGTTGACATCTTTATACCCAACAGAACGTTGGGTACAGTGTGGAGTATATGTTATGTGATTTGTGATTGATGATTATTGTTCTGCAAGTCTTTGAGTGCATCTTATGGTTACTAATGAAATGTTTGGTAAGGTTTTTTCCAGTTCTGGGAACCCAAATTGGTTCCTCTTTGGCTGTTTTTTTTACATGCATCTGAGTTTAAAATTGGGTGCTAGAAGCTGTTACTGCCTCAGCCATCTGTCTCACTCTTTGGGTGAGTATTTGCGAGCCTGGAGGCAGAGATGTCTCATCCCTGTCAATTGGCTTATGAGTTGCTCTTCAGCCTGGCATTCAGAAGTGAATAACTGATTTTAATCTGCCACTGCTGATTGTATGATGGAGCCTTTAAGGCACAGCAACATAAAATGTGTACGTTTTTGTTAGGGCAGACAAGAAATATTTTGCAGCGTTTGCTGGCTACTACTTGTTGCTTTTCAGAACTGCTAGGTCATGTGCTGCAATATATAGCATTTCTAATGCTTGCATTCTTATTGCAACATCTGTGGTGTTTAACTTGCAAATTGTTGGTTCCTGGAATTGAGATTGAAAAATGCAAGAATTCCCACAAAAACTGTGCCTAGCCGTTCTGGTTGCAGAGGGGATGTCTACAATGTGCCTGAAACATGGCACAGAAGCTCCCCCTCTCTCCACTCCCTCCCCTCCCAAATGTGTAACTTAGAACAACTTTCCGCCTATAAAGCCTTGTGGGTTTTTGTTCGTTTGAGTTCTGTACTTTTGGGGCTGGTGCTGTATTGCAAAGTGTTGTTCTTTAATATGCAAAGCACTTTCGGGTTGTTGCCAGAATTTTTAATTTTTATGGTGCTTTTTTTTATATCAAGGCACTAGGGTTTCTGTTGAGTGGTATGTTTTGATTCTGCTCATTTCTTTAGTTCACAGGGTCAAGAGGAGAAAAGTGAGCTGGGGGAGCAGTGGTTCTGGTTCACTCTTGTTACAGTGCTGGGTTCTGTGCTGGCATTGATAAATGGATGCTTAAGAATGTAATCTCTAGCATTATTTTAGACTGCTAGTTTCCTAGGTCATCTTCAAATAACTTAGTGTGCACTTCCTGGAATCTGAATCGAGCCAATTTCAGTGAATTGTTGCTGGGTAGTCAGAAAACGCAATGAATTATCTGGGTTGTAATCCAGTTGGTTTCCTGTCAAGTGGGTTTCCTTTCTTGATCTGTGTTTAAACAGTCTGCTTGGTGTGGGTGCCTTTGACTTCGATTTAAACATATGTCAAACAAGGGACTTTTCTTTTCCCAAGCAAGGAAACAGTGTGTATAATTTGGTATGTTGTTGTCAGTACTCAGCCCGTTCACCCACACCTCTCTCTCTCGTTGCTTCTTTCTCATTGCTTCTCTTTCTTCTTGAAACGCTGGTGTAATTAGAGGGCTATATCAGGGTATATCCAGTAAGATGGAGTGGAAATTCCTACAAAGCACTTGTGCTGTGGCAAAACTTCTCTTCCTGTCAGTCTGTGGTCATTGTTATCATTAGTTGCTTTTGATCAGCGCAGACTGATGCTTTTGACTTGCATGGGTGAATTGATTGATTTATTTCCAGGAGTTTTTCCCCCTGGCTCTCTTGTGTTCTGATGAACAAATAATCCTTGAAGAGGAGCTTAGTTCAGCAACAGTAAGTGTCTTGAGAGATATCAGAAAATACACTCATCCCAACTTCTCTGTGGCTTTACATCTATATATGGATCTTCCCCAGTAAAGTACCAAGTGTGACGTTGCAAGGTCTGTGGTGGCTCAGAATTGATCTTATTTCTTCTTCTTGCCTGAAGACTGTTGTGGACCAGACTTCTAATTTCATAAGAACTTTCATATATTCTTCACCTGGAACTCTTACTGCTGGCTTTTTTCCATGAGCTTTTAAAATTAAATGCTAGATTTCTTAGCAATGAATTTTAAGACTTTTATCGTATATGTCCAAGCTGTGTGCTTCAAGACACTTTTGTGCAAAGTCTCATATAAAAAGCTGCCTGTCAAGGCATATTTGTATAGACACTCCATACAGAATGTTATTTGCTTCCTTTTGACTCGTGTTTGGGGGGGAGGGGGTTGAGAAAATCTGAAATATGCTGCTTTTATTCTCCTGATAGTACAGTTGGAATGTTCAAGTTCACTGCTTTTTTATGTTACCATTGCTTTTCCAGTGACTTTCAGTGGACAAATATAATGGTTCTTAGTGCTTGACTACAGGAATCTCTGTTAATAAACTGCATGATTTAGGGTTGAATACTGAAACATAAGTTAAATTCAGTTCTGTGTGTTAATACATGGACCAGCGTGTATTGATACTACATAAAGATCCTATACCTGTTCAGGAACCCTTGTTATTAGTAGTGTCTTCTTTATGGCTTGAACTGTTTGTGTTCTAACCAATTTTTTCAGTTTTTCTTTGTCAAGTAGTGATTTCACTCCTGTCTGAGTGGCATTCTCTTTATTCTGTTATTATCATGGTGGTGCTCTGGTGTTATGTCCACTGCAGTCTGCGTCCAAGTATGTCTTGTCTTCTGCATCTCATTTTTCTCCAGGACAATTGAGTTTCTTTATCCTGTTGAGACTGTTTGGTTTTGGGACAGAACTCTTTTCATGTTGTGTATTGTACCTGAGAGTGGTGTGTACTGGACCTTTGTCTGAGTTGAAGACGTACTTGGACTGTAATAGAAAACATTTTGTATGTGGACATGGGTTATTAAGGGGGTTTAGTTGCTAGAGATCTTGGCTGATTTTGGAACTGTCAGCCTGAGATGGAAGGATCCATGTGGCACTGCTGAGCTTTCCAGTTCTTGCCCTGCCTGTCCGAAGGCTAGAATAGTGTGAGATGAAATCATCTAAGATCATCTTCCTTTCAGAGACCAGTTATATAAACAGGTACTTTTGTTTTCACTACTGCCCTTGGGAAGAAGGGGAAAAATCATTGGGTCTATCTGTCTTGCTGCATGTACATTGAGATACAGATGCGTCTGATATCGCCTTACTAAAGGCCATCTTCTCTAGCTTGAAGTGGTAGAAGTGCAAAGGAACATCAGTAAGTCAATTTTAATCCCAAAGTTTGTAACAGACTTGTAAAGACTTGTAACAAACTTAAGGTTTCTAAGAATTATTTTCAGATCAACAGGAAAAGTAGTTTGTTTGTAAAGGCACAGCATTGCTGTGCATTTTGCTTAACCTAAGCACTGGAGGCTCTGGGTCATGCATGACAGCCCCATCTCCAGGGGCTGTGCTACTTTGAGCGTTGAGACTCATTCCTTTTAGATCATCTCCATTCTGTTGAATTGCATTATGGACATAGCAGGAAATAACTTGTAAGCTTAGTTGGTGCAATTCCCCTGAATTACACCAACCAGCCATAGCAGGGAAAGTGATGTAGCTTAGATGAGTCCTGGGGACTTGAATCTGTGCAGAAGCAACAGTGACGTTGGCCGGCTTGTTTTCTCTCTGATGATTGCCATGCAAAACACATCAAAATGGAGATGTAACTTTCTTGTAGTTTAAGCTATCTAAAACATTCTGAGATTGCCAATATCACTTCTGAATGTTGTGAATCTGAAAGGGGAGTAGGGGAATATTAATAGAGACTCGTTTTGAACCTTGTTTGAAAGATGATCTTTTTTTTTTTTTCCCTGTTCCTCTTTGTGTTCCAGGGTGCACTCCTAGAAAGTGTGGAAGAGGTGTGACCGATGCGGTAATCACAAGGGGAGAAGCTGAAAGAATCCGTAGGTAATTTTTCTTTTAGCTCTTTTACCTTTTACGAGCACTTACTTTAATGACAGCGTGCCAGTGTTAAAGGTGTAGCACGAAGCTCATTAGCTGAAGGAGGATGGGTTAAACTGGTTAAAACACTAAACTTTTTTTTTTTAAGAGCCATTTTCTATTTTTGCTGTAGTGGAGGCAGTTCTCTTTCACGCAGAGTCTGCCTAGCTCTGTGGGGCATGAGCGTTGTAGAGAAAAAAGGAAAATGAATTAAATACATTTTAAAGGATTTTCACTTGGCCTTCTGTTCCATTTGGCCTTTAAAAACAGAACAAAACAATATAAGCCTCCTTTCAGCTGAGTCTCTTTCTGGGTAATTATGAGCTAGTGCTGACCCTATAGACCGCTATGAACACTAAGTGGTAAGTTTTAATCAAATAGTAGGGGACACTGTCAAATTATGCAGTTAGAAGAGTTATCAGCCTCTTTGAGTGTGATTTGCACGTGATAATCATGTAAGTGGGGAATATCACTGTAACGCTCAAAGCGATATGCAGCTTGTGTGAGTGCTTCGTTCACTAGTCGGGCCGGCCACTCTGTGATTTCAAATTCATTTGGGCTCCTGATTTTGGTACAGCCTTTCTGCATTGTACAGGTTTATTTGTACTGCCCCTAAGAATCAAGATGTGGGTTTTTTTATGTTTAATCTTACTTGGCCAGAATGTTTTTGAAAGACAATGTTTTTGGGGGTGTTTTGGGGACTTATGGAAGGGGGCTACAAGCTCAGAAATGTTCTGCAACATAGATACTTATTTTCATGGCAGGCTGCAAGATTGTTTCAACTAAATGGCAGCTTCCCTTCTCAACTCAATCGGGTTATATCTGATGCATCAAATAACACTTCATGAAGAGTTACATGTTGTAAATAATGACATTAAAGGACAAAGTAACCAGACTTCAGTTCTCATCTGAGGTTATTGTTTTGCCTGCAGAATAGCAGAGAGGGGACTGTCCTTGGGAGGATCTGATGGAGGGGTGAGCAGTGTCCTGTTACTTTTTACATTCTTTTACTACCAAGGCAAGATTATAAATGCATTTTTGGGGCGAGAGGAGATAGAGAATTTTTCCTTCTGTTCAGACTTGGAAAAGATTTTTTAGTTATTTTTATATATATATTTTAGATATATTCTGTATTTTTATATATATCTAATTTAGTTATTATATAGTTAGTCTTTTCCATCTGGAAACAGTTACTATAGCAGAACTGCACAAGTTTGACTTCTGAAACTAAATTACAGTGGTTCACAGCATCACATAAAGATTGGTTTTGTGTAGTGACAAAAAATACCATGTAATGTCTTAAGTAGACCTTTGAAGAATATTCATTAAAAATGAAAACAAAACCACTTCTCTTTAACAAGCACATTTATTTTAATTTCTTTCCCCCTGTCTTTGTTCTCAGGATGTTTTTGTGTATGAACAGAAACTGTTTCTTGAGTGTTTGTAAACACGACCACTTCTTTAGGCCTCTGCTGAATAAGGGCATATATTAGCAGACAAGGAGAAAGGTTTCAATGGAAAAATAAGACTTTATTGTCCTTGTGATTGCTGAGAAAGACCTGCAAAAAATATAACCCGAGAAACTTAAGCAGTGGTGCCCATCTGAAACAATATATTTAAAAGATTTAACATACTCTGTTCAGTTTTGTCAGGATCCCTTGGATTTTTTTCAGTTCTGTGGTTGCATAATTTGCCACCTTGCCTAGATTACTCTGCCTGTTGGGACCTACGGCTTAACTCCTGTCACTGGTGCTGTCAAGTGGGTTTCCTATCCTGTTCTTTTGGCACCTACATGTGATTTTTCATTAGACTGCCACAAAGAGGGATTAGAAGGGCAGTGTATAACACAGCTTGATGGATGTGGACCACAGAAAGCTACTGTCCAGCTGGGGGTCAGGGAACGGGGGAAACTGAGACTGAGAAAGCTTGGAAGAGACATGAGGGGAGGTGAACTTGCTGCCCAATGCACAGAGCTGGGGCAGGGGTCCTGAGCTGGCTTACTTGGCCGACAAGCCAGAGTATCAGACAGATATAAACCCATCATCTACATCATTTTGGAAGCATCATTGTGAGGTTTTCTTTTTAAAGGGGAGGGAAATGGGGGGAGGGGGAAAGAAGGTTCTATTGCTGCAATAAAATAAGTCTGTTAAGAAATCTGATGTCTATTGAGAATTCTGGGCTCTGATCCAAGCCTTCTCACATTTCTCATAATCTGTAAATGTGAAAAAGTTATTGCATGCTGTTACTCCGTAGGGAAAGGTGCAAGAAGAAAGTTGTGTAGTATTGCATTGAGGCCTTATCCAAAATGGTGCATAAACACTGAAAGATGCTAAAAACAAGAGCTGACCAGTGTTTCTGGGAGATCGTGTTTAGGAGAAGCCTTTAAATACAGTCTCTTTACCTAGTTTCTTTTATGCCTCTTTGTCCCCTGTTCTGCCGTTTTCCTCTTCAATGTGCATGCTTGTATTCCCCGTGTCATGGAGTGAATCTTTTCCCAGTAGTGCTATCTTGGCTCCCAGATATTATTAAATACTGACGGGATGTGTGGTGATGATGTATAGATGAAACTGTCTTTCTTCATTTGGGCCTTTTATCCTCTTTTCAAATCTCTTATCTACATAGCATACAAAATGTTTCAAGTCTTACTTCATACAGCTACTTCTCCTGTATGCCTCTCAAGCTTCAAGGCTGTGGGATTAGGTCTGGCTTGTTGCTTTAAATTTCTTAGGCTTTAGAGTGTTTGGATAATTCTGTCCAATTATGTCTGTTGTTCTAAGACTAATTAGTTCCTTAAAAATTCCTTAAATAACTCCTTGTTTCTGTTTAATTCTTTTTAATTCTTTCTTTAGCCACTTTGAACTCTCCACTATTCCAAATAAAACTTCTTCAGATTTCTACTGGGATGCAGACTGCTTCATTCTCTCTGATTTCCTCTTAACCCCTTTTTAAGCAACATGTCTGATTTTTGTGTGTGTGTGATACTTCTTATATTTTGAATTCACAGAAGTGGATATGTGTCTGTGTGTCTGGGTATAACTTAATAATTTAAAGACCTAAACTTGCAGTTTGTGACACTTTCAATTCTCTCCTTCCTTTGTTTGCTGCCCTTTCTGCTTCCTTGGAGGACTGAAGTGTAGAACAAAAACTTGTTTCCCTTTCCATCCTTTTGTGCTGAGAAAGTCCTGGCAAACATCTGAATTATTGAAATCTCCCAGGAGTCATGCCCCAGTTGTCATGCTGAGCTTGCTTTCTTATCTTCCTTTGTAATTTTTCCTAGATTTATTTTTATTTACACACACACAGAGAGCGAGGCTAGAAGAGGCCATTGTAATCTTCTACTCTAACTTTCAACAGAATCCAAACAGGAGCATCTTCTCCACCAGTATGCTGCTTTCCCTTGTATGTCTCTGTCTCTGTAAAATAGTTTTATGCTCTGTTCCTTATTCACAGAATGTGAATTGCATTAGTTCTCTTGATGTTTGCCTCAGCTTAGGTTTTTTCTTCTTTATAAAGATAATGACATTTCCCTTTCTTCCCTACCTAATATTTTCTTGCATGCTACCCCTGCTTGCGTTACCACTTTAGTCATGACTCATTCATTCACGTCTTTGTAGATGCTACCGTCACATCATCTCTCCAGTGTAAATGAAATGACTCATTTACTATCAGATCTATTGGCATTTATTTAGAAGCCCCAGAAAAGAAATCCCTTGATGCAGCTGGTCAGCTGCAGTCTGTTTCCTATGTTGCAGCAAAACTGGCAGGAGTAGCCACCTAGACCTCCCTTTTGCAGGGGAAAATTAAATTTCTTAATCACTGGGAGAAGCAAACAATCTGCGTAACTGTGATGCCAAACAAGGGTTTCTGATGTAGGCCCACCGACCCATGCATAGAACAGTGTTTCTGCAGACAATACCCCTCCTTATTCTGCTTTCTGCCCTCCCAACCGAACTCTGACGTCCTCAGAACATCAGCTCTGCATTTTCCAGGGAGAAGATAAAGCCTCTGCATAATACTTGTCCTATCTCCTACCTCTACTACAGGCTGCATAGTTTTCTTCCTTCATGATTAGCCTCCTGATAGCACTTAGGAAACACATACTTGTGAGGAGTGAAAGACATACTTGGCAGTGTGTCTTTCACTTTACTTAGAGCTGCGTGTTGGTTGATTATCTGGACTTAACTCTAGGAAGCTGGAGAGGAACTGGTTGTGTCTGATCTATATCTAGTGTAAACTTGTACTGGACACCATAGCCAAATAGTGTATTTAATTTCCACAGTAATAACCTGTGACTCCAGCTATTGGAGTGATGTATAAATTAGATTGGTTACACTTGTGTCTCCTAATTAATCAGCATAACTTTTAAGAGGCATTGCCTTAAGAATGTAACCCTGGCCCCGCTACTCTCAAGATTCAAGTAGGGAAGGGTATTTAAATGTGGTAGTGTTTTGAGAGTCTGTGTAAGACTGCCTGCAGTGACAGCCAGTTTGATGCTGCCCAGGAATTGGTGGCCATGTAGAACCTCCATTGCTCTTCCCTCTTCTCAGCTTGAGTGTGTGAGCGTTCCCACAGGAGGAGTGGGGAAGGTTTTTTGAGCTCTGCCAGCTTCTCTGCAGACAAGCAGAAAAAAGTTTTGCATTTTTCTCTCTTGGGCAGTGTGTCTGCAGTTTTCGTTAAAAATCTCACTTAAAACTTTTTAAGGGTGGAGGAAGAAGGTGGAATTGCTGTAGAAGTGAATGTATATTTAATGGTTGGCAATCCCTTTTAGTGAGGATCAAAGGCAGGGCCTTGGCTTTGCAAGATGGGGAAATTGATCCTTTTTGCCATATGCTGAGAAACGGTGATTACTTGCATGTTCTTTTTGAATCCTTTTAGCAGTGAGAGGGCGGAGAATGTGGGGCTAACAGTACTGAAGGTCCAAAAGAACATATACTTGTGCTTTATTTTTTTTAAAGGAAGTTCAATTTCCTTTCTATAGAAGTTCTGTGAACCAGGATATTGGGGTAGTTCTGTTAAACAATCTCTCGGAAATAGGGGTGTGGGTATGTGTGTGTGCAGTGTTCCTGCCGTCTTTAGATAAACTTTGTAGAGCTTTCAGCCTGGGAACACTGACCTGAATTGCAGGCTGACCCTTGATGAGATAGCTGAACTTGAAGTAACGGTGTTGACACAGGCTTACACCAAGGTATTCTTCTCAGTGTAGGAAATGATGCTGAAAATGTTCTGAAATGGCAGAGGCCAAAATAAATGTGTTTCAGTTTCTTTCCAAGGTAGCTGTTAAACAAATAGCTCTGTGCTCATGTTTATCAAGTCCCTGTCTATGTTTGGCATTCAGTTGTTTTCCTCTGTCTGAAACAACCCTGAAGAATATTCTTTCTTTTTCAGATTCCCTTTTCAGTCCTCTTCATCTGGCTTTTCTAGGCTTTATATCATAGCTATTATCTTTTCAGCTATGAATACCTACAGTTTTTGGGGGCGTCTTTTATTGATTCATTTGGTCATTTTGGATCTTTGCAACTGTAATCATCTGGTGCTTGAAGAGTGAGAAGGAATGTGTACTTTGGAAAGCATGTTGAAAGTATTTGAAAGGCAATTTGTTTTTAAATTAAATTCATCTTTTCAGATGTGTCCTGCTACTTCTCCTTATAATCTACTTTAGCATGATCATGAGCATATTTTTGAAGCTACATGGGAGCAGTTTTACTTCTGGCTGTAGCTTAGATTGCTGTACAGAACCAGAAACCAATACATGAAAATATTTTATTTCTGAAGCTTGAGTAAAGCTTATTAGGAGAGCTGCTCTTGCATGAGTGTGAGATTACTTGTTTCCGTAACAGTCCTCTGAAGCTTTTGGAGAACTTCTGTGGGAAGGGGAGGTCTGAAAACTCATGCTATGTCCACTTGAATAGCTCGTTACTTTATATATTTTTAAAGCTTTGTTCAGGGGTAAGTAAAATGATTTGGGTAGGTTTATTAAAAGAAGGTTGTTACTGTCCCTTTTAAAAGGAGACTTTAGTGGCGTTCCCCTGATTCAGCTCTGAAGCTCAGAGCAATTGAGCCTGCAGCAATTTTCTTTTGCTGAGAGATTGCCATGGGTGCCTTCCTCCAACATGATCCAGAGAAGGAGGGAGAAAAATGCTTTGAGACTAGGGGTGAACGTGAAGCTGTGTTGCTAGCCTGGCATTGCAGCTCTGACACGTCTGTGCGCTGATGATTTGCTGCTGCTCATTCACCAGCCTGTCTGTGTTTGGGTAGAGATATAAAGTGGCTTCAAACAGTACTGTCCCAATCATGCCCGGAAATTCTTGTTGCTGGTAAGATGGAAGTTATCATTCTTTCCAGGCAGCTCACCTAGCGGTATTATTATTATTTGGATTTTGTTAGCATAATGTGAATGGTATGTGGTGCATCAAGAAATGCCAAATTCCAAGATGAGTGCTTTTGCCCGGATATTGTATATCAAAGATGTCATTACTTTGGTGCCGGGCAGGTTAATTAACTGTTGCTACTTGATATTTCCAGTATAAAAAAATAAGACTGCTACTAGGCGGTCATATTTTTAAATACTGTTTAACTGATGCAAAACAAACATGTATTTTGCGGACAGCAAGGGACATACAAAAGTGTACTTCATTCAATTTAGAGAAATAATTTAGAATCCTGAGAGGTAGCTCTCTATCCTGGCAAATCTGAATACTAATCTTTTTAGCTTGGTCTGGAGCCCAGCAGAAGTGTTTTGCTTGAATTGGATGAAGAAATGGATTGAATTTTCATATGTAAAAACTTTTCAGTCTTTGGTTTTCTTTTACAGTGGTTTAGAAATTGGGGAAAAGAAAGTTTGGCTCTAGTAAGCCTTAGAATTATAATTCTTTTAAACAGACTTTTATGGCCATATTAAATATGAGAAGCATACAGAAACTCATGGTGAAGGAGAAGTTTTAATAACAAATGTTGGGCAAGATAAATATTAGTGCTGCTATTTGAGCACTTCACAAATATTGGAAAATTAGTCATCTTTGTGTGGAAGGGAAATGTCTTCAAGAAGGGATCCAGGAACACAGTGTCTTACCCCTAGCCCATGGAGGAAGACTCCGGCAATTCTGTATGTCAGATTTGAATCTCGGGAATAGCAGTCCTGTGCTTTATTCATAGTCCCTTAATCTTTTGTGCATCTATACAGCAAGCTGAGGGAGGTTTGTAGTTGTAAAGTAAGCATTAGTATTGTGAACTCAAATGCTAGAAACTAATATTTTTACTTGGGAGGCTGTGGAAAGTGAGAGCCAACTTGGGACAGTTATTAAAGGTCACAGTTAAATAATGATAAAACCTTTTCATGCTCTTTTTCCTACTTTTTTGTTTCCTTTCCCAGGCATCGATTTTGGACTTGCATTCTGGAGCTCTTTCACTGGGGAAGCATTTTGTTAATCTGTACAGGTAAAATGGGACTGTGGCTTGCTGCCTCTCTTGTTAGCCTACACTTCAGTGCTCATTGCCTTTTCAAATTTCTCAAGCCCTGTGGGCTGGGGTTAGTAATGACAAACTGTAGAAGTTGGTTAGGTTCACCACAGTTTCCATGACCAGTTAAAAACCTTTTGTGCCGTGAAAAATGATCTTTTGTTGAACTGGGGTCTTTGAAAGCTCCCATTACCTTTATTTTCAGAGTTGTTCTTGCACCGGTAAATAACAGTATTTTTTCACAGTTATAGTCTAGTTTGTCAGCAGTGGAAGAAATTAAGTAGTCTGAACTCGTAACAACTTGAATCCATGTGCTTGTTTCATTATGTGGGAGGGGACTCTTTTCACGCCTGGGGAATTCCATTATCAGTTGCTGCACCTTGATCCTCTAATCTTTTAACATTTAATCTTAGAGCAATGCTTTGGCAACATCACACTCAAGCATTTGTAGGATTTCTTTGTGTTGTGTTTTCTTTTATTGATTGTGGGTAAAGCACAGGTGGCAGTCTGACTCAGCAACTCCTGTTTTAGACTGTTGTTTAATTTTTCAGGTACTTTGGGGACAAAATTCAAGACATCTTCACAGAAGAGGATTTTGCATTATATCGGTAAAGATTTTCAATAACTGCTGAATGAACCACAAAATGTAACTTTATGGTTTTTTTGTAGAGTGCAGGTTGGGAGGGAATTGTCCTTTGGATTCAGACATACAATTGAATTTGCAGCTCAAAATAGTAATTTCTGTGAGAATTAAGGTGCCTTGAGGAAAATAAGTGAAAGGACTTTTTGGTGACTACCTGATAAATAACATCTGCTGCTTTGAACTTAGCTGCATTACCAATGTCAGGACAGTATTGGTGGTGTCAGTGTAATCAGAATGATGGCAGCACCACACATTTCCCTTTCTGCATAAGGGGTTGACCTGCAGGCAAGGAGAGCTGCTTCATCCGAGTTCTGTGGTTATTTGCTGGAACTTTATAGCTGGGATGTAAAATCCTTTAGCGTTAACTCTTATTTCACACATGTTATCCAAGAGGTGTTGTGTTAGATGATAAAGACAATCCTGTGCTATTATTACATTAGGAATTTGGGGTTTTTTGGGTGAAGTGTAGCAAAACATTAAAAATGGTAAAGCAGGAAGTGGAAAGATTTCAAATTACTACTGTTCTGGCTAGAGAAGCAGAGCATACTTTCCCCCTAAGAAGCCAGAATATGAAATAGCGCTATAATGTAATAGCTTTGGCATCTGATGCTTTTAGCTTTCCTGTAGACCTGCTCATATACTTAACAAAGACAACAAACGTAAGGAGTTCCATGTGTCTCTGAAGGTGTGTGGCCAAAGCTTAGGAACAAGCATTCTTTGTTGACTAGACACAATAAATCTTTAGTTACGCATTTCCGTTGCTTTCTCATAATTCAGAATGTACCTGGCTTGAACATTTTAACTCTTTTTGTCTTTTTCCTTGCCTTTGTGAAGGACTATGACCTCCCTCTAGTGGTGACGATAGTGTTAAGTAGCCAAATAGGTTTATTATTTTTATTAGTATAGTAATTTTATTTGTCTTAAAATATTAACGACTTAAAGCTTATTTCTATTCAACAACTATTTTAGATACTACTGTCTTCATAGATAAACTTCTTTAAAATGTGTTTACTTCTGCTCCCAAAATCACAAAACCCAGACACTTCCTTGATTATTATTGAACTTTGACTGTATAAAGAAAATACATAGTCTCTGCCTCACCAAGGTAGTGGGGAATATTTTGAAAATAGTCTTTGTTTTGTCTTCCATTCTGTAGAAGATCAAAGAATCTGTAGAAATAACAGGAGTATAAGGAGGGGGTGTCTTATTAAAAAATATTTCTGTTTCACATTACCAGAAACATTCAGTTTTTCAATAATTTTTATGAATTTCTGATCCTTACACTGTGAGATGAGACAGCTGCTGGGCAATATCAATATTCCATTGGTATTTCATGCCAATACAGGGGATGTTTCAGTCTGCTGGATACAAATCTAATACAAAATGTATTATTAAATGCTTCTGTTCATGTTAATGGCAGTGCTTTAACATGGGCTGTATGTAGTACCTTATGTCCTTAATAAATGATTTTATGCTATTCTTGGGAGCACTTATCTTCATTACTTTCACTTACCTACCAAGGTCAGTTTAAAAATACACTCTTGAGAGAAATAACTAAATGTAATTCATGTCTAAGTATTACTGATTGCAACAATAACAAATCTGAGTAAGCATTCTGAGCCAGGAGGCTGGTTTCTAAACTGTCTCTGTCAAAATTATGTTGCTTCAGAATCAATTATGGTTTCTAGGCTGATGCTTTAACCACCATCTGCCAAGCATATTACAGCAATTCCTCTTGTTTCACATAATAGATGCATCTTTATCCAGAAGAGAGACCTTTAAATCTGGATGCTTGGTTTAAGGGTTGTGACTTCAGCAGAAAATGGCATTATCAAAGATTTATTCCAAAAATCTTATTAAGGTAGAGGCATTGAAAGAGCAGAGGAAGAGCTGATAGTTTGCTTTCTCCCTTTATTCGTTCTGCATGTGTGATTTCTGTTAAAACTTTCTGGCTGTAGAAGAGCATTGCTCTGTCTGCTTCTACTGCCTTTGGTGCTTTTCACTGGGAACAGCGCGGAGATGCTGACAAGTGGGCTAGAGAAGTTGTGTAGTTTTGCAAAGCTTTGAGTGTTCCTGTCACTGTACTTGAATCACACTTTGCAGTGACTCCTAACAGTGCATTTTTTTGCTGGTCTGGCAGAGCTTGTATCTTACAGAAACTTTTCTGTGGCACTTGTAGTTCTTTTACTTGGTCCTTTGTGCTGCTGCTGCTACATTAAGCTGGCAACTTTGCAATCTAGTGAACATCCTTTCTCTTAAGTTGTATGTTCCTTAGACTGACTTCTAGCTACTTCATTGGCTTTTTTTTTTTTTTTTTTTTTTTTTTTTTTCTTCTCTTCCTCATCACCCTGACTCCAAAATAGATTTCAGTAACTGCTTTTATAGAAGGTGGTCATATGCTCTTTTCAGGGAGTCCTAGTCTGCCTTTCCCTGAGTCTGGTCTGTGCATTTTGATATTATCCAGTGAGTCAGTGCAAATGTACAAGGACTGCTGCTGATAAATTCTGGGAGAGATTAATTTGTTACTTATATTGTTGACTGGGTGCTGTACTCGTATATTTATTGCCATAGCAGAGCTCTGTTTAGTGCATCTGATCAGAGCCAGGGTACACCCTAAGCAGTTTGAATGATAGAATAGTTGCTGTGTTTATGAAAATGAATGCTTACATTCTCCGGCATAAAGAAGTATTTTCTTTGTAGGTGTAGTACACCGGAGCTCTCCCAGCAGTTTTTGATATATGGGGGACATGGAGGAAAAAGTATGAAGAATGAGTGGGCCAGGATCAAGAAGGGAGGGGAGGCTCCTGCTTCTTCTGGGTGCATATGAGAAGTGGCTGAGGGAACAATATGGCTCTTACTGTACCGGATCCAAGGTAGCCAGAATTTCTGGGCTCATTCATTGCTTCCTTGATAGCACCTTCTAAGCTGAAATTTGGCTTATCTTGTCATGTGATTTACACATGAAGTACAACGTGTTTGTCCTTAAGTATTTTACCAATAGACTATATAGGCTGTGTCTGGAATAGCAGGGAAGGGAATGGAAAGGAAAACTTGCAGTCATGGTATTGATAAATGTTGAAATGGCCAGGTCAGTGGAAAGCAGGCTGTACAGAAGAGTTTTTATAGGCTAAAAAGTGACTTTATACTATTTTTGAAAACAGCTACATGCTGTATTTGGCATGCTACTGGGCACGGGATGAGCTGAGGTACACAGATGCCTGTGTTCAGATACATGCTTTACAGGATTCTAGGGAACACTTTGATCTCTGAAAGAAGTCATGCCTTTACTCCTACTGCAAGGTAAACATTTGATTCCCATGTATAGTGTTCAATTTGCTATTGCAAAGAGGGACACGAGATACCTTATGGAGTTTAAAGCGGAGTTCATGTTTGCACTGACAAGTTTGTCAACCTGTTGATGACTCCCGCAGTGGGGTAGATGTGATGATGTGGAACGAAGGGCAACCAAGATTATCACAAAGCACCCTGCAAAATGTATCTCCTGCAGCACACAGTTATCTTTGCTTTTGGCACCAAACTTGTAAATGGATGTTTTTTACACATTCTTACATCAGCTACAAGCTAAGATCTCCTTGTCATTAGTTACAATAGTGCAATGCAGTGTTTTCTAGTAAGATCAGTGTTCTGCACCTTAATTCCCCCCCACCCCCTACATTAAGCATTAAGTTCTTTTATACTTTATGTGGCTTTCTTAAACTTATTTTGAACTGCAGCCACTTATATATGACAAAGTGAGAAGTCCTGGTTGTTATGCACGTGCATTGAGAAACAGTCTTCCCTTGCATATTTTCCATTTTCTTCTCTAGGTTATAGTGCCTATGTATTTGATTTGACAGATGCCGCATTATTAGAAAGTAGGTATTAAACACTATCTCTGTGTAGAAATAATATCTATGTGCTGGCCTAACTAGGAATTTCATGGAGTTTCTATAGCTTTCGAGCAGTATGATACGTACTCAAGCAAGAAAAAGCATTTAGGCAGTCAAAGGTATTGCTCTTTGGAGCTTGTTTCCAGCAAATCTTTGCCATACAGGTTATTCAAACATCAGTGGAAATCTGCCGTGTATTCATGACTGATACGCCTTTTTTTAGCTTTTCTTGTTGATTCTCTATAATTGGGTTATTTATTGCAGTGCATTACAGTGCAATAAATGTTGTGCATATTTGTAGGCACAGTGTTTCCAGTTTAATAGTTAGTATTAAATATAATCTGCTTGGGCATTTGTTGGAGGTGTATCAGATGACACTTTGTGTATCAGGATAGTATTTCATGCTTAAAAATTTAAGAGCATCCACAGGATGTGAAGAAACAGGGAGGCTGAGATGGCCTGTCGCTCTTTGTTCCATCACATGTTACATAGTTTTCTGTTGTACCTCTTAAATTCAAGCCTGAACTTTGGGAATACCCAATTTACAGCAATGTAGATTACATGTATTTTTTGTCATGTGTGTATACTGGGGAAGAAAAAAATCCAGTCTTGAGTATTTCCTTTCTGTCCCTACCATTTCTCTTTAGAAAGGTCATTCTGTGAAGGGCTTTTCTTATGAGCAAAGCTTGCTGGAAAGGGGTCTTGTTTCCAGTGACCAGTACATGAGTTTGGGTTATTTTGCTTGTTTTTTCTGTGTTAGATTTGGAGTTCATTGAAATTAATAAATGACGTCCTACTGAGTTCAGCATGTGCTGGATTAGGCCCTAAAAAAATAATTTGGTTGTTCCCCAGTTCTCACAAATATGTCTAAGAGAGCACTGAAGGCAAACTAGAAGATTAAGTGTCCCCTCCCCCTGAGACTTAACTTTTTTATGACTTTGCAGCCTGCACATCAACTTTTTATTATAGGCAAGTTAACCCCTCTTGCTCATTGAGCTCTGGTGTGAATAGTCAGTATTCTTTTGCCTGTTAACCTCCTTCTTGAAGGAAGGCTGTTGCTGTAAACTTGCTCCCTGGACATGTGATATCATGGTGTGTCTGTATTATGTGTTAACGCAGCTGTAAGTGCAAAGGGTAAATACCTGTTGTTTGAAGTCTAGTCCAAGATCCATTACAAGCAGTGGGGCTTTTTCATAGTTTACCATTTCTTTTGTTGAACGGCAAATTATTTATGTGCATAAAGTTCGTGTTAGTCTGCTACATATGCCGTGATTGTCTTGACTAAGTTTTTGAGTGATGCTGTGGTATGTCGGATGACAGCTCACAGGGAAGCAAAAGGCAGGAGCACACAAGTCAATGGAAGAAATGCAAGGTTGGCACCTCTTGTCGCCTCGTGCACTTGAAGAAGCTACTGTGATTAAAAGTAATACTTGAAGCCAATAGCGCACAGGGAAATAAGGGGCCAGCAGTATGCTTCCACACCCAAAAACCAGCTACCTGGGTCAGCTGAAGGCAGCTGCTTCCTTGAGACCAGGATAGCACCTAAAGTCATGCTTCTAGACCTGTCACCTCAACTGCTTCATTACTATTCATTACTTCCCGTGCCTATTTGATTTATAAACAGGAAAAAACAAACTTATCTTCTGAAAAATATGCTTATTTTCTCTTTGCAGCATACTTAAACTGTTGAGTTTTTCCTTTTCTTTTGATGACCCATTGGCTGGTCCAAACCAGGTAGACTTTTGGTTGCTGTTTTTGTCTACCAGGAAGAGTTGAGTAGAGCTTTGCTTCCTGCTTGGTTTGTAAAACATGCAGTCTTGCCCAAAAGCCATTGCACGTAAATCTCAAAGAGGAGTGAAGCTTTAACGGAGCCTTATAAACACCAGACAGCAAATCTTAATAGAAAGCTTTTAAAAGTGGGAAAGGAATCAGCCTGCAAGAGGAAGCAGTACTGCTTAGAGAGCAATACAACTACTGGAGATTTAAAATTATGTCAAGACTGTGGCCTAACTACTTCTGAGTAGATATATTCCAGCTGGCTGATGCAACTGGCCACCTGGTGTCAGAGCCAGGGAATAAGCTGCTGTAGTATTTGTGGGTTAGGCTATTAATTTTTGTGTTGGGTTGTTCAAAGTGCCAGCTGCCCTCAATTCATGATGAAGTGAAATGAGTAATTACATTTAATGCTTTTTGGGAAGCATAAGGCAGCCTCTGCTGAAGTCCTACTTCTTGGAAAGAAAACAGACAGAAAGATCAGGCTCCCACAGGCATGAGAGGAAGGACCTGTAGATCCTTTCCTGATGTCAGTTTTACAAACTCTACCACTGTGTAGCTCTCAACTTGAAACCTCAGTTCATGCAGCCATGTAAGTACCTGAAAATCTCAGCTCTAACTTCATTTAATGGTTTTGATATTTCACATGTAGAATATCTTGAATTGACCCCTAAAGCTTAGACTACTGAAAATGTAAAGTGAAACAGGTTAAAAATCAAATCTTTATGTGTTTTTTATTTTTATTTTTGGTGAGGGACAAGATGTGAACGGAATGAATATTTAGGATTTTTTTAGTACTTGTGGAAATAGTTTTTAAGAGGTGACTTTCACAGTCTAACACTGGAGCTCTCGTTTTAGTTCTGTCACTTCTTTTTAGTCACTGTTTAAGTTCCCTAGATAAATACTTGTAAAAAACTTTCTTGAAAATTATGCTGAAGTTCAGTACTATCCAGTGGAGAAATAAATGTCTGATGCAGGAAAGATGCAAAACTCCTAATGTAATTCCATGCACAACTTCAGAAGTGTGTTTACTCAGAGTATCTTGTTTGTGTGCTGCTTTTGAAGCACTTAGGAAGGAAGAAAAGGAAGACTAATATAATAGCTAAGAATGTGTTAAAATTGGGAGAAAACAATATAAAGATTTTAAGAAGCATAGAGGATTACATTTAAAAAAACCCTAATGTTTTCATTTCATCTCATTGTGTTATTGCATTCTTTGCTGTTTTTTAAATTTCCTCAAAGTTAAATACGTACTAGCTGTATGTGTTTACTGGTGGGATTTGCCAGTGGTATTCCTCATTAATCACAAATCTCTTCTCTTTAAAAGCGGCATTGACTGCACTAAGGCTGGCAGTTCTAGATGGCCCTGTTCTAGCCCTGTATGCAGTGATATCTGTCCTGAAAGATGGATGCTGCTATATAAGCAGTTCTGTATAGTAACGCATACGTGATTCTTAGTCTTCGTAATCTTAAAAATAGAAATCCTGTTCTTTTCTTCCTGTCTCCCAAGAAACACAGGAATAGCCACGGTAGAAATAGTTCGGTTGAATCTTTAAAAATAGTTGGGAAAGACATCTTGCATTCATTTTTAAGGAAAACCTGGTTATGACACCAATACATATGTTGACAGAGAACCCTGAGTTCCATGGTGCCAGAGACTTCATCGGTTAGTTTAAAATTGGTGTAAAAATAGTTGAAGGTGCTTCAGAGGCAACCCTTTAAGAAGATACAACTTTCTAGTTATCTGATTTGGATTAAAAATTTATATGTGAAACACTTTAATCTTTTCAGTAGTTAATAAACAGTGAGATATGCATGGAAATTTTCAGGAAAATAGACTGTTTAAACAAAGAAATTTTAACACCTAGGCCACAGGAGACAAATAGTTTATTTTTCTTGATATTCTGAGAATTAAAACCAAAACAACAAACCCCAACCCAAAACACCAGGGGTTCTCTTTTTATGATGTAGTAGATCTCCTTTATTTAAGGCAAAATAAGAGAGAAAGTACGGGTATATGTTCCCCATGATTTATTAGCTGAGGAAGAAGCTTAGCCCTGAAGGAGCAGTAACTGTGAATGAAGGAGAAAAGAGAAGAAGCAGGAGAGAAATGTGTCACTTAGCATGCTGTGTTGTGTTGTGTTCTTTGCAGTGATGTGAGACAGAGAATTCAACAGAGAATTGCTCAGGCATTTGGTATCAACTCTGCTTCCATGTACCTGACTAAGCCAACGTTCTTCTCGAGAATAAACAACACAGAAGCCAAGACAACACATGATGAATACTGGCACCCACACGTTGACAAGGTAAGTAAGTACGAGGCTGAGATAGGATGCAAATGTTTCCTGTTGTTATTAGATCACTTTGAAGTCATTTTGCATTAAACAATCAGTCAAACATGTTTGAAAACTGGTGCTTGTAAAAATCATTTGGGGGATGAACCTAATGGAAGGATAAGTGAGTTTTAGAAACGTAGGCCAGTACATTGCTTTTCATCTTATTTTCTCTACTTTAGTTCTGCTAGAATTAATAAATTGTGTGCACGACTACTCAGGAATCTCTTTTGTCAGAAATGTTGATTAAATTGACCTGCACCTACAAAGTGTTTCAGTTTCATCAAACCTGCATTTCCAGTTAGGGTATCGCTCTTTCAGTCAGGTCCAGCAGGAGCTATTTCAAAGTGGTCAGTCGGTCACTGTTGTTAGTTGATCTGAGCCTTTTGATAAATGTTAAGCATTTATATTTCAGTTATATGTGAATTGAGGCTTTTTTACTGCATGTTATTCAATGGGGATATGGTACCCTCTTTTAATAATTTGATGTTTTGTTGTTTTTAGAATGTAAGTATTGTGACTTTCTTTTAACTGCATAGTCTTCTATCTGTAGGCTCATAGCTTAATACTTTGCATTTCTCAATGGACTTAAATTGGGATTGGTATTGAGTTTATTTCTGAATTTAACTGAGTTCAAAGGTTCTGTGCAGCATAGCAGAATACAAACTAACAATGGAAGAATCAAATAGCAAAAAAAAAAACCCAACACAAAAAAACCCCTCCCAAAAAACCAATACCCACATTTCGTGTCTTCAGGATTTAAAAATTAGAGTCACTCTAGAGTCATGGATCACCCAAGATGGAATCAAATAAAACTTATCCCATCAAAATCTAAGTTACGCCTCAAGTGCTGAAGTCTGTCTGTGGGTAGTGTACCTTGAAGTCTATGACCTGAAACATCTAAGATGAAAAATCAAAGAGAGAAATATTCCTTGCCTTGAAAATATTTCCCAGAAAAAGTCAGTCTAAGGGAAGTACAATGTCTGTTGTTGCTCACAACATTAGCGTAAGCTCTTGTGCCCTTTCTTGTCATGTGGGCAAAAGCAGGTTAAATTTAGAAAACATGGTGACAGCGATGATACCTGATACAGCCGCTGTTTGAAAGAAGAAAGTAATGCAGGGTGGAATTTGCAGTCACTGATATAACAAAGACGAGACCAGCTTTTGGATGCTTCTTGTTTAAAAAGCTGTGATGTAACCATTGAATAGGGGTGGACCTAGGACCAGAGGTGGTAGGGATGATTTTGAGGTGCAGATTATTTTGACTAGTGCTGGTAGGAACTGGTTGTAGGGAGCAAATTGTGCTGGTGGGGTTCATGAGAATTCCATCACATGTTGCACTCATTTCCAAGAGACACTAAATAAACTAGTGATTGTGGTTGTGTGAAGTGCAGTGAATTCATAGGTTCCTCACAGTTTTTCCACGCTTTCAGAGAATCAAATTTGCCTGCCACAAGAGAAGAGAAAGCAGTAAATTTCAATAGCTGATGGCTATTTTCTCCACTTTTTTTCTTTCAGCCCAAAAAAGCATATTTTAGAATTTCAGACTCTGATTTATTACTGTAATGAGATTTGTGTCTGCACAAGCATTAGGCTTGCCAATATTCTCTTTATTCTTTTCTGCATGTGTTTTGCATTGGTAAACGAATAAGGTGGTTGGATAACCTCACAATTAAGTGTTTCTACCTAAATCTCTCCTATAATGTATGAGTTATTTTGTCGTTTAGAAGAAAATCTGTTTCCATGAAGAGAATTTGTTTCCTCTGTAGAAGCTGCTTCACTGTTATGGCATCCTGACAGTGCCTGTACATGATGGACAGCAGGCTAGATGTTTTGCTGTTTTTATCCATCTGTTTTGTTTATCTCGCAGGCTGTCTGTTCAGAGAGCAGATACATCAACTGATTGGCCTCGGCTTTTTCTAACCTACCCCCAGCTTCAAAAAACAAAACAAACACAAAATGTGATCTCTTAAACTTGCTATGCACAACCTAAACCTTAATAGTTTCTATACTGAATAATTGAATAGTCGGATTTCTGACAGCAGTGCAGAGATCATTATCCCAGTTGGGGCAGTTACCAAACACCTTGTCCATAATCATGTAGAATTTGGCCCCTCCAAAAACAGCATACCTGCTGTAAAATACGAAAATGTGACTTATGCTAAATTTCAAGGTATTTTCTGAGAGAAGTGTTGTTTAGATAACACTGGGAGTTAAAACTGTAACTTGTCCTGTTTATTCTATATAAGTAGAACATTTTTCACTTCTGTAGCAGCTGACTTCTGCAGTAAGTTGTCTGTATTGGGAAAGCTAAAGCATTCAGACCATTGAAGTGCTTTTTGTCTGTGCCTTAAACTTATGTTCCAGGTTTGATCAAATATATTTTAATGTGGTTATTTTCATTCTTGTTCAAGAGCATTCTCGCAGTAAGGATTGCATGTGAATATGCCAAAGTTGGGCCACTTTCTGTGCTGTCATGACAGTATGTCCTGTTTGTGGCTGGGATAAAGTTAATTTGCTTCCTAGTAGCTGGTATAGTGCTGTGTTTTGGATTTAGCTTGAGAATAATGTGATAACACGCTGATGTTTTAGTTGTTGGTGAGCAGTGTTTATACTAAGTCAAGGACTTTTCAGCTTCCCAGACTCTGCCAGTGAGGAGGTGCACAAGAAGCTGGGAGGGGGCACAGCCAGGACAGCTGACCCAAACTGGCCAAAGGGCTATTCCATACCATATGACATTATGCTCAGTATATAAGCTGGGGGGAGTTGGCCGGGGGGCAGCGATTGCTGTTGGGGGACGGGCTGGGCGTTGGGCAGTGGGTGGTGAGCGGTTGCATCACTTGTTTTTC